TATCATCACTTCTGCCATACTCTATTGGTTGAAGTATTGAGATTCAAGAAAAGACATAGACTTCACTTCTTGATGAAGGAATATCAAAGAATTTGTATACAAGTTTCAGAACCACCATAGTTAACTTATCTGGGATGGTTCATTTCTGTTCTATCTGGCATCAGTTTTGTTTGTTTGTTTGTTTGTTTTTAGCTGAGCTATCTTGCCACCTGTTGGCAGCTCAGCGCCAGCTCAGCTCAGCCCAGAATCGAACCACTGTTGCTCAGAGCTCACACTCTTGAGCAAGCTCTTAACCAACTGAGCCACTCAGCAGGCCCTGGCATCAGTTTTGATTACACATGCTTTTGTGACCATGTGGCAGATGAACTAAGGACTAGCTGATCTCAAATGGTAGTTGATATAAATTGAGGCTCCTCAGTTCATGTGGCTAGCTCAAACTTCCTCCCACAGCAACTGAATTCCAAAATGCAAGTCCCAATGTACAAACACTTATCAAGCTTCTGCTTGCATCACATTTGCTGATGGCCCATTGGCCAAAGCAAGAAACATGGCCAAGCCCAGAATCAATGTGGAAGGGGGTCACACAAAGGGCATGGATACCAGGATTCATTAAAAGCCATTAATGTAAAAATCTACCACACCTGGGCAACTCCCATTCATCTTTAAAGACTCAGTTCATGCCTCACCTCCTCCAAGAAGGCCTCTCTAACAGACTGGGTCATCAGTTGCCCCTCCTTTGGGCTCCCACATGCTCTGTACACAGCTTTACCTCTGTTCTTACCCTACTGTTTTCTAATTACCTATATACCATTTCTGTCTCCCCCACTGTACAAGCCTCTGACAGCAGAGACTGTGCTCTATTGATCTTGGTATTCTCAGGGTCTAGCCCTGTGCCTAGAACATTGTGCCTAGAAAAATAATGTCTTTTAGTTATTTATCAATTAAACATCGATGAATAAAGTCTTTAAAATAAATATTGAAAATAATATTTCCATTGGTGATTTGTCCTCTCACCCTCAGGCCGACATTCTAAGAGATAACATTTATTTTTTGTCATACTCTCCAACCAAATATGCACTTCTTCAGGGAGTGACCTCACTCAGGGAACTGACCTCAACTAGGAGAAGCAGCAGAGCACAGAGCAATGGTTCCAAGATTTTTTTAATTTCATAGACCAGTCACATTTCCAGAAAAGTTTGAGGTCAACAGAAAGTTATTTTTTTTTTTTTTTACCTAGTAAGGGCATTTAAAATACACATACCATCTACCACCACCACTTCAAAAAAAACCAGACAGGTATAACCTTAGAATGAAGGTATAGGCCTTCCCAAGGAGAGGTAAGTAGCATAAGGCCTCAATTTGCCCAAAATTAGGACTCAATAGTATGCGCTATTTTGACATTTGATAAAATTGGGAAGGCCTCAAGTGACCTAAGCACAAGTTCTCCTTATCAACCTTCCGTATCATGGGACCAGGCATACTTTTCTTGCTTATCCCTTAGTAGTAAGCTTCAGTTCCCTGTCAGTCCACAGAATTATTCAAACAAGCCTATCACATCCTCCCATGGGAAACAAACCCATCCTTTTGATAGTATAAAGCCTACCTCCCACAGCTCCTGATTGTTCACTCTGTTACCAAGTACAACTCCTATGTGGCCCTGCATGGCATGTGGTATCCTCCTCTGGGCTGTGAGTATATATCACTGATAAACTGCTATTGATTTTATCATCCGGTGTCCGGTGTCATGTGTTCAGCCATCTCCAAAACCCTAGAATGGGAATACCCCCTCACCAACAAAGTGAAAAGGAGGCAATCAGAACAAAGTGGCAACCTGACAGCTATGTTCAGAGTATCCCACATTGTCCTTGTTTTTCTTATTTCACCATGGACCAGTGAAATCAGTCTAGCAGGAGTCTGAAGACCCACCCTGGGGACAGTGAAGAACACGCACGGTATGTGGGGTCAAGACATCTGCAATCTAGCTAGTGCTGGCTGTGCTCCAAAGTATTTGTCAGGCTTTTGACAAATCATTAGTCATCGTGGGCCTCTGTTTCCAGCTCTAAAATGATGGTACGGCTTATGCCACCTCTGTGATTCTACAAAGACAATCTGGGCCGGCCGAGTGGCACGATAGTTAAGAACTGGCTTAGGACGCCAGAGGGCCCCGGTTCGGATCCCACATATGAGGGCCAGTGACACTGCCCTCCACAGCTAAGATGCTGAACAACAGCTCAACCTGGAGCTGGGCTGCCGTGAGTTGCTGGCGACGGGGTAGGCTGCAGCCCCTGTGGCAGTGGGTTGCCAGCAGCCAGCGTGAACAGCCAGCAGCCGCAGTGAGCGGCCGTCCAGAAGCCAGCGACTGATCTGCCTAGCCTGGGAAGAGCGCAAAGATGGTGCCAACTTGGGCCAGTGAAGCAACGTCCTCCACAACTAGACTGAAGAACAAAAGGACAGCAACTTGTCTGTTCCCCTTCCCCCAATTCCCCAGCACTGTTCCCATCCCTGCAATTCTCCAATAAAAAAAAAAATCTTTAAAAAAAAAAAAGACAATCTGATGAAATTAGTGAATAAGAAGAGTGAATAGGTAGTATTCCCTTAGTCATCCTACAGGAATGTGCATTTTTAGAGGAGTTTTTATCCCATGTGTCTCAACTAGAGATGGTGGGAGAAGAGAGATCTAAGGGACCAACAGCGTAGCCAGTCTGTCAAGAAATCTTGCCTTGGGTAGATACCTCTAAACTCTTCTTGCTTTCAGCATTTTGATCCTGTCCCAGTAGTAAATGGGAATTTTAAAATCTCCTCCCCTTCACCACCCTGTGTTCCTGGATCATATTATTTGAGCTATTAACTCCATCTAGCCGGAAACTTTGCTTTAGCAGACACACAACTGCCTCTGGAGTCCACATTCCCCTCCCTTCCTGAAGCAAAGTGCTTGGGGACCCAGAAAGTAGGCCAGGTTCTCATAACCTTATCAAAATAGCACAGCTAGGCCTTCCACCCAGCAACACTCAGAGACTGGGCAACAGAGCATATCAGCCAGAGCCCAGATATCTTCTGTAATTAGGGGGCCTTTAGATATCCCTGTCCTGCCAAAAAAAAAAAAAAAGGAACTGTCTCCAGTGCACGCAGGAGAAAGGGGAAGGATAGGCTAAAGCAACTGTGTTCTGATAGGAAAGATCCCTGAACTTAGAATCAGAATGCTGTTAAGCAGGAAAAAAAAAAAAAAACCACTGCCTGGAGTGACAGGGAGGAGGCCCGAGTGTCTGGAACGCAGCGAGAAGACGACGAGGAAAGATGAGGCGGTGGTAGAAGTAGGCAGCCAGGGGCCAGCACATCCAGGGCCTTAAAAATTACCCTACAGGCGATGAGAAGCCCAGTTACCTGATCTGTGAAGACGATGGTCTTACCAGACCAGTGTGCTCAGTCTGGACTCTGGGGAGCTATAAAAAGTGCAGATTCAGGCAGCTCTACTGCTATACTAGCGAGATCCCAGGTGGGCAGGGGCAGCTGCATTTTCTTAAAGTGCCCCCAGAGCTTCTGTTGTTTATCAGAGTGAATGAGCCCTGGACTTGACCACACATGAGGCTCATTCTGCTAGAAAGTTCCATCACTCTAAGTGCTGGGAGGCCATCTAACCTCCAAGAGTGGGAGAGAGAAGTGAATCTCCCACTTGCTAGCCCAGGGATGGCTTCCAAAAGTGCCATTACACTAAGGGAAATTGCAGCAAGGCTGCTAGGGCTGACTTCTACGAAGAAATAGGAGAACAGACAGGCAGACCACAGAGAAAGCAGGGCCAGCCCACAGGATGTCCTGACTGGAAATCACAAAGCAACCATGAGAATGCACATCAACCAAATAATCCGTTGTTCAAAAAAGTTCACCTCACCTGTGGAAGGGAGAGACAAGTCATCAGTATTGGGTGTAAAAAGAAAAAGACCCAAGGGCTTCTGCTGACATCAAATTGATGGGGCTAGGACGGGTGCTACAAGGGAGTAAAAGCTTGGTCTCCTTTCTAGTTGGTCCCATCTCCTCCCTTGTCCCACAGTTCCACAGTTTCCCCTCCCACTAGGCTGGGATGCAGCTGTGGAGTGGCTGAGTACTGAGGACTTGGAGTTCTACAGCCCAGGTGGACTGGCCAGCTCTCCCATTTACTAGCCATGGAATGCGAGTGAGATGGGGGCTGAACCCAGCAGATTGTTTGGGGGAGGGGAGTCAACGCGGGCATGGATGCTGTATGCCCAGCACAGTGTTACAGTGTTTCGTAGAGAGCAGCACTCCTTCCCGTGTCTGAAGACCAAGCACATACAGTACTCAGAGACTTGGGCAGGTGGGGAAGGTAGGGAGAAGTGCTACAAATTGAGAAGAACCTTCTAGCTGTCTGCTCGAGGAGGTGCCGGCACAGGAACTAAGAGAGTGCCTCAAAGCAGAAAGCCCCTGAAGGGCTGGGTGTTCTAGGCTGGAGAAAGGGGGTGGGGCAGGGCTGGGGACCGAAAATAACCGGGCGCAGGCGCCTGCCTTGCTTCTCTGAAGGGCTGCTCCAATGTGGAAAAACACCCCACCATCTTCTTTTGGAGGAAGCCCGGAAAATTCTAACTCCAAAACTTGTCGCTGGAGCCTCCGGAGGTGAGTTCCAGCTGAAAAGGGAACGAGAAGGCGAGCGCACTGCCCAAGGAAACCGGTTGCTGGCCCCCATCCTCCACTCCTCATCCCTTGGTTTTCCCAAAGGCTTCGGAACCCTAGGCCAAAAGAAAGGGTTAAAGCCTTAAAAGAGGAGCAATCATTGCGGGACTCTGGGAGGCGGCCCCTGCGCTGCCTCACCCTGATTGATCCCCGGGGTCCCTGGCCAGACCTGTCAGCCACAGTGTGAGGTCCCGGTCCTGCGGCATATGCCACTCTCCCACACCAATACCAGGCCGCCGCCTCCTCCTTCTTCCATCCTTTCTCGCTCCCCCTCAGCCTCTGATTGGTCGAGCCCCCGGGCCCTCCCGGCTCCTCCTCTCCCACCCCTGGTGAAAACTGCAGGCGCCGGGCAGGTTGCAGCAACTGGAGGCAGTGGTGCGTTTCGAAGAGGCTGCAGCAGCGGAGGACCGGAGCCCAGGTTGGAGCCGGAGTCAGGGCGGGATGGGGGTGCCGGGATAGGCTCCAGGTGCCCCTGCAAGCCCTCCTTATCCGAGGCCTCGAAATACGGTCCGAGGGCGCCCTGGGAAGGAGCCGAGTAGTGCTTGGGGAGGGGTCTGGAGCCGGCAGGGTCGGGGGCCGGACGCAACCGCTGTGGGCCAGGGGCTGCGCCGCACCCTGCCTTTCAAAAAGGGGTCCGGGGATTTCGCCCGCTGGTCGGAGGGGAGGGGGACGCTTTCCTGGAGCTGGGTGGCTAGAGGAGAACCGGGAGGAAGAAGCCAAGGACAGCCTTGGGATCCACTCTCCACCCAGAAGTCCCCAAACCCAGCTCGCAAAAGGCAGAAGACGAGGGCGTTGAAATTGAGGGGAGAGAACAGAGGACGGCAAGCTGGAGGGAATCTGCCGTGTGACCTCGCGGCGGGCTGGGTGCGGGGCATCCGAGGAATGGGAAACCGCAGTGCCGCGGGCGGGGACTAGGAAGAAGGCGGGCAGGTAGGGGAGGGGAGAACTGGAAAATGATGAGAGAGGGGGAAGGGGTACCTCCACTGGGAAAGAAGGAGATTGGAATACGGAAAAGGAATGCGGGTGGGACTAGTAGCGCAGGGGTGGGAGAGGGAGGGAGCGCAAGCTGCTCTGAGTTCTGGTCTGGGAAGACCCTAAGGCAGAGGAAATGAAAACAGGCCGTACCTCCCCCACCTCTGTCGAACCCTCCTTTTGGCTCTACTTCCCCCTCCAGCTGTTAGGTCCTAGCGCGTTAACAAAAACCTTAGACAAAGAGTTTTCGTTCCAAAGGCTGTATTAGCCAAGCCTGGCCACCGCCTCACTTTGTGAGAGAAGGGCCCCCAAGTCTTGGCGGGTGGGGAATTTATAGCTGAAGCTGGATACAGAAGCGGGGGGGGGGCCGGTTAGTGAGTCAAAGGAAAAAAACGGTTAGTTTATCTTATTTTAACAAACTATAAAACATGGCTAGCTTATCTCTTTCAAACAAGCTATAACACATGGCTAGCTTATCTTTTTCTATTTTCTTGACAAGACATTTTGTTATGTTTTGCTGAAGCAGGAGTTTTTACAATCCTCTGGGCGGGGGTACTTTCCGAAATGAGCTTGCCTAGCCTAGGGTCTGGGCCTGGGTCTCTCTACACAGCCCCAGCCCCATTTCCCTTTCTTGTTCTAGCCGCCGTTTCCGCTCCTAGATCCCAAGCTCGCACCCCTCCTCCGTAACTCAGTGTCCGAGAATCAAAACCAGATGCCGACCCCCTTTCTTCTCCGACAACACCTCCGAGTCCCTCTAGGCAGGGATCCGAGGCGGTATTAACTGCAGCCGCAGCCGCGCGGGGCCCCAGCCTCGCCCAGCCACAGGGCGGAGGTCCGAGAACCCTGGACACAGCGAGCGGCGCGCCCTGCGCACCCGGGCGCACGCACCAGAGCAGGGCCTGAGCAGGGCCGGCGCATGGCCCTACTGTGGCCTCTCCCTGGCGAGCACCGCTGCAGACAGGCTTAAGATACCTGCTCCGAGTCGCCTCGCCGAGATGTTGTTGGTCCAGCCTAACCTGCAAAATAGAAACAGGGCAGAGAGCCTAGGCAGTGAGTCTACTGAAGCCAGACTGGAAAACTCTAGGCTAAGGAATCCTGCCCAGAAAGCTGGGCATTTGGAAACATCTTGATTTCTGTGCAGTGAGACAACATATGCAATAGGAGAGCAGTGTCACTTTCCCTCACACATCTGGGAACACCCATAGCATGTGCCAAGTACAGTCCTATCTGGGTGCACCTTAGCCACACACACACCTAATATCACCCCTAAACACAGTCACTAAGAGAAGGAAAATTAATGTGTGGATCAATTACTATGGAGCATAGTGCCAGATGTTTGTCATATTTTTCTTAATGACATCACAACCCCCGTTGGGTATCTAAAGCTCAGACTCATTCATTCATTCAATATCTTTTGAGCATCTGTTATGTGCCAGGAACTGTTTGGATACTGGGGATTTTCTTCTGAACAAGAAATAGAAGTCCCTGAATGGGCAGTTTTTATTTAATAGGTAGAGAGTTTTAGTACTGCAAGATAAAAAGACTTCTGGAGATTGGTTGCACAACAATGTAGATGAACTTAATACTACTAAACTGTACACTTAAAAATGGTTAAGATGGCAAATTTTGTGTTACATGTTATTTTTTTTTAATTGGGGAATTGGGGGGATGGGAACAGTGCTGGGGAATTGGGGGAAGAGGAACAGACAAGTTGCTGTCGTTTTGTTCTTCAATCTAGTTGTGAAGGACGTTGCTTCACTGGCCCAAGTTGGCACCATCATTGCGCTCCTCCCAGCGAGGCAGATCAGTCGCTGGCTTCTGGACGGCCGCTCACTGCGGCTGCTGGCCACTCACGCTGGCTGCTGGCTACATACAGTAGCCCATGGCAACCCACTGCCACAGGGGCTGCAGCCTACGCCGTCGCCGACAACTCACAGCAGCCCAGCTCCAGATTGAGCTGTTGTTCAGCATCTTAGCTGTGGAGGGCAGTGTCACTGGCCCTCATATGTGGGATCCGAACCGGGGCCCTCTGGCGTCCCAAGCCAGTTCTTAACCATTGCGCCAGCCAGCCCTGATACATGTTATTTTACCAGTTACAAAACAGGAAGCCTCTGCCTTCCTGAAGGGAAAAGGAAATGGTAATGTTAAAATCACTCGAAGTCACCCAGCTAGTGTTCAGTACAGACACACGTCATTATAGGGTGTGTTCTCCCTTCCCTTCTTGCTTTCCCTGAGCTGCAAAAGAACATGTGGCAATGTCACATTCACTGAGAAGCAGGGAGGGGAGAGAGTTATAGAGAAGGGCTGGGATGCCCGCCGTGGCCATTATGGCATGTCTCCCAGGGGCCCCCAGCCCTTGGCAGTAAGTGTGGGCACACCTGCCTCCTCTCTCGGCTGATTCCCATCCTATTCCCACCCCCAGATCCAGAACTGAGCTCTCAGCACCATGAACCCCGCCATCGGCATCGCTGTCCTGCTGACAGGTACTGGGCATGGGTAGGGCTGGGATCCAAGCACAGTGGCTTCCTTCCCTTCACAGAAGGCAGCTTCTTTCTCATGACCCCAGGGGTAGAAGTGACTAAGGGAGAGAGTGCTGTTTTTCATCCCTAAGTCAGTTGAGCAAACTAGTTGATCTGACTGACTGAGGTGGTTTTTGGAAACACATTTCACTGAGCCTACCCCATATTGAGTTGGAATCTCTGAATGGGAACCAGGAACCTGCATCAACTCCCTAATGTCTCCTGCCCCTGGAATACACTGGTGGGACCAAGGACTGGAGTAGATGAGGGAAGGAGGCTGGGGTCTGCAGCAGGGAAATGGGACCGGCCCTCAGGGACCTCTGTGGTGGGGAGAGGTGCTCAGAGGGCAGATGCTGTGCCCTCCCTAGCCAGGCCCTTCACTGTTAATGTGGGCGGGAGGCCCCCTGCTCTACAGGTCCTCCCAACTCAGAGGGGGCACTGCTGGTGCCAGTCTTGCAGGTGGCCAGTGGGCAGAAGGTGACCAGCCTGACAGCCTGCCTGGTGGACCAGAGTCTTCGTCTGGACTGCCGCCATGAGAATACCACCACCTCGTCCATCCAGTACGAGTTCAGCCTGACCCGTGATTCAAAGAAGCACGTGCTCGTTAGCACTGTGGGGGTGCCTGAGCACACATACCGTTCCCGAACCAACTTCACCAACAAGTACAACATGAAGGTCCTCTACTTATCTGGCTTCTCCACCAAGGATGAGGGGACGTACACATGCGAGCTCCGTCTCTCTAGCCAGGAACCCAGCTTCAAGAATGTCACTGTGCTCAGAGGTAAGGCAAACCCCCAGCAAGGCCAGCGAGCTAAGAGAGGCAGGCTAGGGGGTAACGAGCTGCCTAGGACAGCAGGCATTCCCCTTGGCTAGGCCAAGAGAGGAGAGGGGCCCCATAACCTCTTTCCCCTTCCCCCAACTGCTGTCTGTGCACTGGGGAATAACTGCCTTCAGTGTGAATGGAGGGGGAGGGCTAAGGGGACAGTCAGGCAGAGTGGTGTAGCAGAGGCTTCCACCATGACTGCAGGCAAATCACTGGGCATCCTCAATCCTATTTCTCCCCACCTGGAAAATAGGGTTGTCACCAGCTACTTCACCCACAGTTTTCTTGTGAGGATGCCTAGTAAAGATTTGATATGTTTGTTCAAGGGCTCAGGAACCTGCAAATGGGAAAGACGGTTGGTTCTATTAAACCAGGTTGGCCCTGGTTCCAGCTAACACCGCCTGGCGCCAGCCTCACCCAAAGAAATGTGCCGTTGTTCTGGGCCTGTGGCCGCCTGAGTCCAGGTCCCTCTTCATTCCTGCCCTACCCCTCTACCCCATTCTCTCTCCACAGACAAGCTGGTCAAGTGTGGGGGCATAAGCCTGCTGGCCCAGAACACCTCGTGGCTGCTGCTGCCCCTGCTCTCCCTGCCCCTGCTGCAGGCCATGGATTTCATCTCCCTGTGACTAGTTGGGCCCACAGCAGACACAGGAAGTCACAAGGCCCAGTCCAGAGATCCTACTTCTCTGAGTCGGCTCACCCCAACCCCCAATCCCTCACACACCTCGGGGAGGGGGGAAATGAGAAACACACCCCTCATAAGGAACCCCAGTGCGTGCTGCATGCCATTATGTACCCACTTCCCCACTGCCACACCCACCCCACGGCCACCTCACATCCTCTCCGCACACCACTGGCTTTTTGTTCCAGGGCTGCTTCTGTCTAGTTTATCTAGGGTGTATCCTTCCTTTTCTTTGGGAATTTGTGAAAAAGGAAGACAGGGCTGGGGACCTGATGAAGAGTGAGGGCATGGGAGGTGTTGTAGGATGGAGGAGTAACAGCCACGGGGAGGTCATCCTTACCCACCAGAACCCGAGGCTTGGGAGAGACCTCCATGAGGAGGGGGTTAGAGTGCATTTGGGCCTAGCACATCCCTCAGCAAGCAGGGAGGCACCTGAAGACCCTGGATGTGAGGGCACTGCCAAACATTTGTGGTCCATCACATGAAAAACAACTGAGCATCTCCAGGAGCACTCTGCCACAGCAAGGAAGCTGTCCTCTTACCACTGCAGAAGTCCCCTAGGAGCCTTGGGCCTGGGTCACAGTCCAGAGGAAATGCAGGTTCTGCCTGGGAAGCAGTGCTAATGGCGGGTTGGAGGGGGTTAGAAGGGAGGGTCCCACATCCTTCCCCCTCTGAGGAAGCTAACAATGGGAGCCTACTGTCTCTCACTGCCGCAACCAGCAGTTGAGAAGGTGGCAGAGCAGGAGAAGCCCCCTCCCAAGTTGTCCCACGCTCCTAAGAGCTTCTGGAACTCTGACCTGCAGGTAGTAAGGCAGGCCAGGGGGAGCCCCAGAGCTATGCAGTTTGGCCCAAGTTTCTCCAGGAGGCTCTTCCTTCCCTCCCCAGTCAGTGCCAACCCCAGCTGAGCCTTAGACAGGCCCCTGCCCCACAGGCCTGCCTTCTCAGGGACCTCTGGGGGGCCTGAGGTAGGCCATGGTGTGAGACCTATGAGTGGGACACACCTTGAGAGATGGTTTTTCCCAATACCCAGCTCTCCACTCGGCAGCTCTGCCCTATCCTGTGACCATGCATAGTGCCACCACAGCTTATGGCATCTCATTGAGGAAAAAACCTGCACAATAAAACCAAGCCTCTGGAATCTGTCCTGGCTCTGCTTTGCTCCTCTGTCTGTCCGCAGGCCTGCCCCCCCTCCCTTAGCCACGCATCTAGGAGGTCCGGCCTGCCACTTCTCTCCCTCTTTCCTGCCTTCATCAGCCCTTCCTCTCCCCCCTGCCCCCAGGGGTGGACCGCTGCCTGCTGGGTTTCTCAGAACGACTCCAACAGTAACAGATTTGCCCAAATAAATGTATGTCCCATCTCTGTTGACTCACCTGCCAATGTGTAGGCTGCGCCACATAACCCTGACTCCAGAATATGCTAACAAGTACTAAGGTATGGAGTCCACTTTTACTTAGATCTGGTTGTTCTCGGAAATGCCACCTCAAGTTATGTCTGCTATAGAGAAGGGCAAGTGTTGGGGCAGGGAGGGGTCACAGTGGAAGCAATCCACATCATCAAGATATAAGGACAGCATCTCTTCTTAAATCCAACATGGTCAAATAAAGGACTGGGGGTGAGGAAGGAGCAGAGGCCCATCCCTGTCTCCCTCCCCTAAATGGCAATAAGACGGAACAGCATCAGAGCTTATCCTGGCAACGGGGGCTGGAACAGAATCACAGGCTGGTTCCAGGTTCCAGTTGCTGGCAGAGCAAGGCAGCCCCCAGACAGCCTTCCCTGCATTTCCAGAGAATTTGGGGGAGGAGGGTGGTTACTACCCAGAGGCTGACTCATTTGATATGTAGTGCTGGGTAAGATGATTCTTTCTGAGCATTTGCTTAAAGGCCCAGTATCTAAATTCATGTCACCAGTTTCCACTCGACAGCTCCCAGCAATGCATATGCCATACCAGTGGCCCCTGTAGTGACCATACCCAAAGAGGGCAAGAGAGGCCTGCAGGAGAAGGAGCTGCCTGTGTCACCCACCATGACGTCCACCCATCCCCTTGTGGGCTGACAGTCCAATCCCTCAGCATGGGGCAAGCAGCACAGGGGCTCCAGAAGTAGGGGCGCCCATGGACACGGCCCCTTTTGTTCTGCCAGCTTTGAGTCTCAAGTACCATGCCAAGAAAATGAAAAGAGCCATTTTTGGGGCAGGGAGCTCAAATGCTACCCTCGAGGTAGTAAGAGGTAAAGCTGGAAGGTCTTTCTGGAAGGAATTGGGAAGTCAAGTGTGAAGCCTCAACTGAGAATACTGTGAGACCCTGGCACCTGTGCAATGCCTCATATGTGGTCTTCGTCACACCCTGGCACCATTTCCCTGAAGAGTTGAGTGGCCACACTCTATAAGGGTCTTGGAGAGACAGTATTGCCCTTGGCAGCCGTGCTTAGGGGATGAGAATCTGAGGCCTACAGTGGATTAGCTTAAGAAGCCACAGAGGCTATCAGATCACCAGGGATTACAGGAATGCAGAAAAGGAGAAAGGAACAAGCCTGGGCCTAAGAATAGGCCCTACAACTTAAAGTCAGAGGCAGGCCCAACAGCCACCAGTTCCTCTCTGATCAAGGCGGGAGGGAAGTCCTTTGGAGGCTGTGGGACTTCTGCAGTGACTTGGCTAATTATAAAAGATGGTTGGAGCCAGCCCTGGTTCCTGCACACATGCCCCAAACCCTAACCCATCAATCGACTCCTCACTCCTCCAGCCCTCTCCCATGTCCCCTCAGCCATCTCAGTCTCCACCTTAGGACCTGTAATTCTTGCTCAATAGCAACAGAAGCTGCTCTCTCCATTTCTGATCAGATTGTCCACCACGTTCAGGGGGTACAGTGGGAAGGTCTTGCCAACATTAAGGGACTCCCTCGGGAAGGGAAAGGGGATCATCAGGAGGAGACCCTAGGACTTTCACCAACCAACCAATAAATCTACCAGGTGTCCAGGCAACCTGTGACATACATCCTCCAGCCTCCTAACATGACAACCTGAGTTTGCACCTTTCATGTAATGAAGGGCATGTCTGTCTTTACATGTGAAAGAAGCAAATCCCAGATTAAGAATAAATTATTTCCTCACTGACCATTGAGGAAATGTTGGGACTGGAGTCCTTCAGAGTAGTAGCGAAGCCATGAAGGTCATCAGCTCTCTTCTGCTCAAATCTGGACGGCTTCAGGACAAAGGTGGGATTGCCTTCCTGCCCAGGGCTTTCATCCCTGAATGTCCACCCACCCCTCAGAGAGGATCATGCCCTGTGAAGACTGCCTGACAAAGGGAAGGCCAGGGAGCAGGTGACAGTATGGAAGTGGACACATGGTGTAAAGGGCAGCGTAGGACCAACGGAAGAGTTCCTTGGAGACCAAATTTGGCCGCTCACGCTGGCTGCTGGCTACACACGGCAGCCCATGGCAACCCACTGC